ACTTATCTTCAAACCTCAACATCTCATTAAAGTCTCCAGCAATTAACCAAGGCATATTATGATTAGCTCCAACAAAGGAAAGATAATCCCATAATTTCTGTCGCTTAGCAATACAAGGATGAGCATACACTCCAGTAAACATCCAGGGAGTTTGACCAGGCCAACAGACACAAGCAGAAATAGATTGAGCTGAGGTACCAACAATATCAACTGTGACTTTACTAGCATTCCATAATAACCACAAGCCACCAGAAAAACCATTAGCATCCACAATTTCATAATTGGAAAACCCCAAAGATTTAACCACATCAATAGCCTTCCCACCACTGATTCTAGGCTCACAAATGAATAGAATATCCATATGATGAGTACGACTCAAATTCATCACAGTAGTCTTAAACTTAGTGCACGCAGCACCTCGAGCATTCCAACTAATAATATTCATAAAAAATATGCTAAAAGATAAACAATCACTAAGGGTAAACCCTTTACTTAAGCATCAAAAGCCATACCTTCAACCGTGTTGAAGGTAGTACTAGTCAAATTTCCACCAGAAGTGCTAGTTTGGCCTTCAACCAAATCCATCTTCGCAACTTGCCCCAGCAGATCAATCCCTCTAGGCACAAGAACATTATCATCATCATACTAGAAAAATCATTAAAAATATATTTTAGAAAGATAAATGTCTTATCTTTCCAACCATATATAGCACGTAACTTGGAAAATTCGGGAAGGCTTCCATTTCTTCACATTCACGTAACATGTACAAAACTGTCCTGTCTGCACGTGGGCTAACTTTACTTGTAATACTGTACCAATTGGCTGGTAGAAAATTCTAGAAAAATCACAGATTGAACTTCAAGATGTTAGATTTCATCTCCAATTAGCCTTGTGCTAAAATTCCTCCGAAAAGTTGATTTTCCCTTAAAATCCTTCTAAAAGTGCAGAAAAATTAAAAATCAGAAAAGTAAAGTAATAAGCCCCTTTTAAATCTAATTCTCCTACAAAACCTAAGTAAAAAGAAAATGTATTCGCACCGATAACGGAGGAGAATATATGGGGGCGTTTAGAAACTACTATAGAAGTAATGGAATCAGGCATGAATGATCTGTTCCGAAGACTCCTCAGCATAATTGCATAGCTGAGAGAATGAATAGAACAATTGTTGAAAGAATAAGAACAATGTTATCTCATGCCAAGCTACCCAAAAGCTTTTGGGGTGAAGCCCTGATGACTGC